ACACCTACGGCAGGATTCATTCTAAATACATACACACCAGGATTCACGCTGCACATATACATCTTCCAGGATTCATGCTCCACGTATACACACCAGGAGTCACACTCCACATCTCCCTACTGTTAAGGGCATTGTTCCAGTGGCACAAACAAAGTGAGACAAATTTCCCAAGACTGTGAAGATTGCATCATTTAATTGTGGATTGCATGCCACAGCACGGGTAAGAAATGGTGCCTTTCACTTAGGATAATGTCTCAAAGCGCTTTAGAAAACTAAGCAGGATTGGAGGTTTGGAGATATTGAGAGTCAGAGGTAGAATTTTAAAAGGGTTTTGAAGGGACGAAAGGAAAGAAGAAAGGTCTAAATCAAGGGAATTTAGAAGTTCCAGAGTGGGGACACAGTGGTTGAAGGCAAGGCTATGATTGTGGGACAGCGGAGTGAGGGATGAGTCCTAAGCAAAGGATACGTGCAGACATTGGAGGAGATTGCAGAGGCATGGTGGAGAGAAGATCACAAAGAGGTTTGAGCAGTCAACAATCACATAGAGGCAAGTTAGTGACCCACGCATGACATTCCTTTCCTGTCTATCATCTTACCCGATTCATGGAAAAGGTCAGAGGCCAACAATGTGAAAACTGCATTGCTGAGAAACACAGATTTGCTCAGCACTCCACTGCCCACAGAGTGAAGCATCACTTTCAGTCACTAACAAAGGGTCATGTCCACTCAAGGAACCCCTGCAAACTTACCATTTCCTGTTGAGTCATCAGAAAATACAAGTTGACGTAATTGTTCTAGTTCAACTAAATCATTCTGAAGTTCCCCATTACAAGGTCCCCAGTCTTCATGACATTTTGTTTCCAAAACAATTTGATGCAAATTGGATCAAAATGTGTCAACATGTCCCTCTATGTAAAATTATCATTAACAAAATGAAACTCAGTTGCTCTCCCTTCTCACAAAATAGAATTTTTCTGAATAGAATAGAATCCTGTTATAAGCCCCCAAAGTCAGTCTGGCTCAGCTGATAGTACTGAGTCAGAAGGTTGCAGGTTCAAGCCCCACTTCAGAATTTTCAATTCATTGGTTAGGCTGACACTCAAATGCAGTGCTCAGGATGCTCTGCACTTTTGGAGGTGTCATCCTTTGGATAACCCATTAAACCGAGGTCCCATCTGCCTGCTCACATGGATGTTAAAGATCTCACTATTCACATGGAGAAGGGAGTTTCTCCCAGTGTCCTGGCCAACAATCCCCTAAATAAAATTTGTCATTTACTTCATGTCTGTTTGTGGGACATCGCTGTGCACAAACTGACTGTCATGTTTGACTACAAATATGCAGTCACTGCACTTTACAGAATATTCTACGAAGCCCTTTGAGATGTCCTCCAGATGTGTCCTTCCTGCATGCTGCACTGGGTAGGAAAATGCTTGAGTAATAAACAATATCAGCAGCAGCCATTTTTCAAGAAATGGTGCCAGCCACATTTTTGCATGCCGTGTGCATACATAACGCACAGGATAATGATGCTGTGATGGTCATTTTTAACTTCATGCCCTGTTATGATATGATGTTCGGGTTTATTGGGATATTAAAAGGTCATATTGTACACCCTAAGGCTGGGCGAGATAGAAACTGAACACCTTTTGTGCAGGTGAAAAGGACTTATGGGATTTCTACGCATTTGTTTTGAACGAGGTGTTACTTGGTTTGGTGATGAGCTTTGGTTTGTTTGTGTGAATAAAAGTCTGAAGCTAAGTTCCACGTGATGGTGGAGGCTGGTTTTTTCAGTACCTCAAGAGCCACCCTCTCACTTACTGAAAGACCTAGCTATAAACTGCCTCTTCAATTTTATTTCTCTTGCAACAATTGACACATTATCAAGCTCCAGTCCCACCCTGCGTGATCCAACAATTAACCACCCTGGTGCATATAATTGGCACAAGCACACCGTTTTGCTTTGGTTTTAAGTCGCCTTGTGGCCTGTACTTGCTCCAAATGTTTGATTCTTGTAATCTTTGCATTTGATATAGACCCTTATCATGTTGTCGAAATATCTCAAGCGCTTGGCAAGATTTACTGTAAAGTGTAGTGACTGTATATTTTGTAGACAAACATTGCAGCAAATTTGCACCACCGCAATGTCCCACAAATGAAGTGAATTCCTAATTGACTAACTGTTGGCCAGGGCACTGGGAGAAACTCCTCTCTTTTCCAACAGCGCCATGGTGGGATCTTTAACATCCAACTGATCAAGCAGACAGTTGAACATCTCATCCAAAGCGTGGCATCTCCGACAACGCAGTGCTCCCCCAGCGCTGCATTTGAGTTGGGAAGTGATAACAAAATAATTAGCTGCAAATTTCAGACCACACAAGAGATTAAAGAAAGCCCTTCACCCATTTGGCCTCATCCCTTCAGATACCCACCATAATCAGATGATAATAGGAAACCTGTCTTGTAATATTGTGAATTCTGCAACAGAATAATTGTACTTAAACTAATTTGTTTATTCCGTGCTTCTCTCAATTCACCACCTCGAATTGCTCCCACCACGACATGCCCACTGACAGGACTGTAACCACCAGTAATTCATCTCAGTGATATACAACTCACAATGCTCTCTGTGGATACAGTTCGAAGTGGAGAGAGATGGAATTGCACTGCTGGGCGTTTAACAATTTAACAGCACACAACACGAAAATTTCATCACCTGTTGACACATCTTACTGAAATCCTAGGGTCTAATTTGCGATATCTCTTTACGGGATTCTATCCTGTAAAAAAAATCCCCATCCAGTTGAGGAAAATCTGCTCCAGAAGTTTACTGCAGCCAGAGTTCATGTGGATAGGGAAATGTACTTCTGGTTACCAGAAAGAATCCAGTCTTGGGATTCCTTATTAAAGAACAGGGTAAGAAAAAAATGCAAATGAGACCTCGAGAGAGTATATGGGCTGCAGAGCTACAGACAAATTGGAGATTATGAAAAGTGAAGGTAAGGAGGCCCGTGAGGAGGGATTTGGAGAAACCTAGATCTCGAGGTAATGAAAGCGCAGTAAAGAAGGAAACAATGGTAACATCACTTGTTCATTGTGGAAAAAGGTTCCATTCTAAATGTCTCGCCTGTAAATAGGTCATTCACTGACCAGGAAACAACTATTCAATAATGTTCAACCAAAGACACGAAGAAGAGAACATAATAATAATCCTTGCATTTGATATCGTCCTTATCACATCGTTGAGATGTCTCAAAGCGCTTCACAGTATATACTGTAAAGTGAATTGACTGTATATTACTCTTTTTAGGGTCACTTCACTGACAGACTGAATGATAAAGCAACACTTTTAAAAAGCTTTGGAGAATGGCAGACAACAACAGCGAAGACTCAGGTCTGAGTTATTAGAGTGAGTGATGGGACAGGTGAGTAGGAGCGCAAGAGATCACAGAGGTAAGGTGGAGCAAGAACATCAAGGTATTTGAAGGTCTGAGGGAGTAAAGCCTGGAGAGGATGGGGATGATGGCCTTCTGAAGCCTGGTATGGGGAAGAATAGGGCGGTAGAGTCTTAGATTAGCTGGACTTGGATGCCGGTTGAGTTATGGGACACTACGGTGCATGAGGGGTGCTATATAAATGCAAGTTGTTGTTGTTGAGCTGGGAAGGCCAATGAGGAAGGTATTGAGAAATTGAGTCTGGAGGTGACAAAGGTGCAGATGAATGTTTTGCATTGTGAGTGAGGTATGAAGCCGGGCAATGTGGTGGAGATGAAGGAAAGCAAATTTGGTCAAGGGTCAGATGAAAGGCTTAAAGGAGAGCAAAGGGTTGAATAAAGGTCCAAGATTGCTCACTGGCTCCATGAGCTGCAGTGAGCAGTCAGAACCAGAGGTGAAGAGGCTCTGCCAGGAGCCAAGCAGGTTGGCACCCTGGTGCACTAAAGTAAGGTGCCAGATAGAAGGATGACGTGTTACCAACACAAAATCCGGATCTCAACTGTAGCAATGCACGAAGACAACAAGCAGAGACCAGTCACTTCCGCACAGGCACCGGAGGTCAATTGTATTTAAAAATCTTGGAAAGCCCAAAATGACTCAGTTCATGAAGCTATTGCCAATGCAAGACTGAGCAACTTACAAAGGACAATCTCTGGTGCATGTTAGTTAGTTGATCTCGCAGTTTGGATGCTACAACTGGACTCAGTGTCCAAGTGTAGGGAGGGACAATTCAGCTCCCAACTGCTATTCAATGATCACACCCACCCCCCACGCACCCCCCCACCAGAATGTACGTGACAGATGAAGGGAGGATGGGGCGACATGAGCAATTCCTCAATCAAATCGACTTATATATGAGGAATGACCACTTGACCACTAATACCCTAGCATTAGTAAATGCCTTTAGGAGATAAGTGAGAAACATTTAGAAGGAGAAAAGAATAAATGCAAAGCCACTCTATGTTGCTAACATGCACTTCTTTGTACCTGATATAAAATTAGCATTGACAGTCACCCACCCCCACACACCCCCGCCACACACACACAACCTTCACTGACAGGTAGAATGTAGCCAATGGAGTAACACCATAATAAGAAAAAAAATGAATAACTTTAGAAATCCTTTTTTTGAGCAACCGGGTTTCTGACCCATGCGGAAACCCATTGCCCATTGCTTAATAATATCCAAACAAGACTGAGCATTCCACATATGTAAGCCATCTGCACATGGAATTGAATGGACACTCTCTCATTGGAAAGACTTTGCTAATTCCAGAGATCAAAGGCTTGGGGACAGCACAGTGTATACTGGGGGTATGCTGTTAGTTTAACCAGCTAAAACCACCTAGCTTGCCATTGCTCACACTTTCTGGCAAGCTGCCTGCTGTGCTTTCCCAGCTACGACAACCCTACCTATTAGGGTTTGGCTTGTAGGGTTAACAGGATCTGAGTGGGAAGACATGAGGATCGTTCAGTGCTGACTTTGTATGCCTAGCACATACTTACTTGCATGTTTGTCGGCCAGCGCAATAAGACTGCCCGAGATGTCTCGTCTCCGGTAGAAACAGACGCACTTTGCTTCCACATTGCCGCTGGCAGTCTGAAACACACAATAGAAAGACAGTTAGCACACACCTGTGTGATTGGAATGGCCAAAATCTTCCGTTGGACAAAATACACTCTTGTTCTCGGAGCCCAGATCTCAGGGTCTTGGCTCTCAAAACCTGCTCATCATTTTATTTTCCTCCTCTAATAGTATCTCCCTTTTATCCTGAAGCTGCTCAGTCAGTCTGGGGACAATTTGACAGATGCCAGGGCCCTCTGCTACTGAGCTTAAGTGGTTATTCTTCATGTTCCGAGCCTGGACAGTGAGCTTCATTAGGCTGCTCAACTGTGATCAACATCACAACCAGACTAACATTTACACAAAGGCTCCTTTCCAGAGGGTTCATTGCATCGTGACAGAAGCAGACACTCTGGCCAACGTTTCCTGTCCCCAAGGGCGACAAGGTCTATGGTAGCAAGCCTCTTCCTCTATGCCTCCCCCAATCACTACCACATCCCTGTCAGAGCAGAAAATCAGCTGATTCATAACTAAGGTTTGTGTAAATCAAGAAAGAAACATGGATATGCATTTGTTTTTCCTGCGTTGAATAATCTAACAAAACAGTCAATACAAATCTGTAAAAATATTGTAAAAATCAATACAAAAGTTGATTTTAGCCCACAAATGTTAAGTTGCGGGTCATCAGGGGACCAATCACTTCCTGTATCCTACATATGTGCCCAGAACAGTGTCAACAACAATGTCAACAAGAGCGGATTTTTGTAGCTCAATACATGGATCCAAATTTTAAAACTCAATTTTCTGTCAAAATTAAGAAAAANTAAAAATTGATTTCCACTCCCAATCCTGCAGTAACATATCAGTGATCCAATCTGGGCTTTGTTGGTCTGCATGACTCAGTGGCACAATCTTCACCCACTGAGCCACCAAAACATGATGGTTTTAATCTTCATGCTAGCAAACTATTCCAGCTCTAAAGGCAAAGATCTTCTGGTGCTCTGAAAGACCAGAATGATTTCACAATTAAACATATTGGTTCAAGGATTGACCTGACTCCGGATATCTGGACAGTAATCATTGAATGTACAAAATTGACGATTACACCTGTCTAAATCCCACGTTTTGCCCACAATACAGTCAACCCACTTTTCAGTATATCCTGTGAAGCTCTTTGAGACATCTCAACGACGTGATGAGGCGCGTATATCAAATGCAAGGATTGTTATATGTATAAATACAATTATATAGAAAGTTACAAGCACTGAAACAGGCTATTTAACTCAATTAGTTTGTGCCGGTGTTTATACTCCACATGTTGAAAAGTGATATCATGAGTGAGGTATGCGGTGGTGGTGACATTGTAACTACAAGTGTCCGCTCAGTGTCCACAGATGTGCATTCTCTTATAGCAGTCACTGGATAGCAATCAAGGGCAGGAACCATGGCAGATTTTTTTATTAATTGGCTCCAGGTCCCTAATGTAATGATGTTCAATCCAAAACTCGAGTGTGTTAGTAAGTTTCTTTATTAGCAACTCCAATCCATTAACCATAATCACACCAATTTTCTTAATTGCCTTTTACATCGTAAAGGGATATCCTGCACTTAAAGCCAATTGGTACAAGGCACCTGATATGATTGGTTTATTTAATGGGAGTTGTCAAAAGGATTCACAAATGTCCTGCATACACCTGAATGTTTCTCATACCTGCACACCTCTTGGACCAGTAATTTCCATGAGGTTATTTTTTAGCCAATGGAGGTTCAACAGGAGGGCAGCATCCGCCTGGAATTCCAGTGGCTTGACAAGACACACATTGGTATCTGCAGGGATCAATATTTCCAAATCCTTTCGCTGTATAAACCTCAATGTCCCATCTTTCAGCTTCTCAAAACAGCAGAGGAAAATACATCAGTAGACTCCATCAGACTTCAGACGAGAAGACAAAAATCTGCCACTGTACCAGTCTACCAGCCATTAAACTGCTCTGGACTTCAGCAGACAGTCTTGAATCATCTCCAAGCCTCGGGGATAGATTGATCACTTACTGCTTTCTTTATACCAGAATTATTCTGCACAGTTAATCTAATCATCGGATTAACTGATGATTTCAATTCTAGAATTAGTATTGAAGTGTTGTAAATGTTCTTCTGCTCAGATTAATTACCAAAGTTAAATTCATGTTGACCAGAGAAAGAACTATTCCCTGCTGTTTCATCATGTGTCTTCTACTGTGTACTTACTGTAAACCTGTGCACTGTCGGAAATTAGATAAGATGCTAATCGAGGTCCCGTCTGCCTGTGCAGGTGGACAGTAAATAATAATTCTTGCATTTGATATAGCACCTTATCATATTATTGAGACGTATCAAAGGACTTCACAGAATATACTGTAAAGTGAATTGACTATTTCATGGCGAAACAGGTTAACCAAATCCGCACAGAAGTAGCCCCAAAATAGTCATGAATTAAATATTCCATACCATTATTCAAAAAGAGAAGGGAATTTCTCCCAGTATCCTGACCAGACAGCATTGATCATTTACTTGATAGCTGTTCATTGTGCTCAAATTGACTCGCGTGTTCTCCTATAAAATAGTCGCTACACTTTTTTTTTGAGACGTCCTTCCGACTTGTTTAAGGATTATTTTTTTTATTATTAATATAGTGCTACACATAATCTTAATGATAACGTCACTTTATAATCTCTTATAGTCAATCAAGCTTCAGTACGGCCCCGAGATACCTCATTGGCTTGAAACATACCCCAACTCACATGAAATTAAGTGTATTATCCATACGTAGGCTTCAGGGGGCAGGTGCTTTCTGCTTTTGTCAATTTGGATTGTTTTATTTTTGGGGCAGTATCACAGCAAATAGTGAGAAGGATCAGAAGGCGTTGACTTCATGTGAAGTGCTAACGTAGTGTACAAACTGAACTGCAATACGTTGGAGAACAATATATTAGGGAATGACACAGCCTATGTGTAACAGGGAGTGACAAAGCATGCACATCTGGCAAATCAAATTTGAAATGTAGCTGCAATGTGAAAAATGCAGACCATTAATTTCAGATCTCCCTTTTAAGGAAGAGTCCACACAAAACGATGGGGGCATGACAGCCCGATGGGAAACCCCAATTTTTGGCCTGTAAAACCATTAAAGATTGTGCAAGTTTGTGATAAATACTCCAGTTAGTCTCAAGTCTTAATAGCTGTTCTGCAGAAAAAGTGTCCAAATTAAGGGGCTGAATTTAATAATTCTTCACAATTCTACTCTTACGTTTGAAGACAAGATGATCTTGCAGGCTAAGACAAGGAGGAATTTCAGGCTTCATCTCTAAGACTGGATTGGCTGTCAACCAAAAAGTGGCTGAGCTGGGAAGAGATAGCAATGGGTTGGTCCTGAGTGGGCAGCTTCTAATCCCCAAACAAATAAATTGACTCACTGACCTGACTCCTCCAGTCAACTATATGACAGTCTGAGAATTGTTTTGAGTGAGTTAATTTCTGACACCACCCTTTTACCCACACACAGAATAAGATTTAGTTCATAGCTCTGACATCAAACTTGTTTTTTTGATAAGAAAATGAGTGATGTGATGCTCAGTGTCACAGATCAAGAAGGTCTCAGGTTGAATCCCTGGTCTTTGCCAAGTTATTTGATCTTACTTAGGGCAACCCTAGGAGCATAGCAATAGCATAGCAACTGTTCCCCTGACTAGCGTCTTGTGTGGACAATAGGGGAGGATTCCTACCCGAACCTAAGAAAGCATTCTCTCTGCTGCAACAGCATCAGATTTTCCATTTCCTATCCAGACATCCCACTGTCCTGTCCGTGTACAATTACTAATGTGGACAAATGCCCTCTGAAATTGCCCAAATGCATTTCATTCAATAGCCCTACAGCCAGCAAACAGAGGAAACCGGCCTTCACTTCAGGCTGGATATGAACCTATGATCCAAGTGGATTACAACCGGCTGCACCACCCACAACCTTTTATATTTCTCCTTTTCAGATGTTGGCCTAATTCCCTTTTAAAAGTTGTTAAATTTGAAATATATGTATGATTTCTACGTGCTTGCCAAGAACGTGGGGAATCAGGCGAGAGGTTTGAAGGAAGTTCTTCACTTGGAGAATTGATTGGTTGTGGAATTCATTCCCACGAGTGACTATTGAAGCTGGATCAACAGAATCATTCCAACCTTATTAATGAATAAAATAATAATTCCTTGCATTTGAAATAGGGCCTTTCATGTATGGAAGATGGTTCAAAAGCGCTTCACAATACTTACTGTAAAATCCAGTGACGATGTGTTTTGTAGGTGAACGTGGCAGCCAATTTGTGCAATTTCCCACAAACAGCTATGAAGTGAATGGGGGGATTTGGGGATTGTTGGCCAGGACACTGGGTGAAACATCCTTCTCTGATGTGAGGCTTGAACCCATAATCTTTGACTTAAAGGAGTGCTACCAACTGAACTGGGCTGACATGCCAGCCATTTTTCTGAAGTGTGTTTCAACACGTGTTGAAGTTTATGGACCCAAATCACTGTGTACTACACTTCTGGTGTCGCACAAGTCATGGTTATCCGGGGCATTTTATAAACTGTTGCCTTGTATACCAGTGCCGTCGACACAATGTGCTAAATAGCCTCATTCTGTGCTGAAAATGTTTGTTTTATAAGTTTGCTATGGTTCTTCCAATTATTTACCCTCCTCCTCTACTGAAGGTTGGACTTAATAATAATCCTTGCGATTTTCATGTCTTGATGATATGTCTCAAAGCGCTTCCCAGAATATACTGTAAAATGGGCGAAACTTATACTGGTTACAGTTCTCCAAGTGACAGCCATCCTCCAGTAGCTCATTTCTGAATGTGCTTACCATACAGTGAGTGTCAACAAGCTGTGGGATGGTGCAGGGGCATCATTGAACCTGCTCTGGCAGCAAACATGGAACATAGTATGAACCAGGGAAGGGAGGGAGTTAAACCATCCAGGTCTAGATGGTTACATTTTTCAGACTTTATCAATCGAGCTATTGAGGCACCAATCCCCCCCAGAAGGTGTGTGTTTGGGAACACCAGTCAGAACAAGGTCAGGCCTGCTGGCTCAATGCCATGCCAATTCTCCTTGCTAAGAATCAAAAATGCTGGATGGCCACTTTGGAAAGGAAACAAGAAGGTGCTCGGGGAAACAAACAATGGAAAAGAGAGGGGAGGTCTATGAGCAAGAAAATACCAGCACTTCAGTATTGGGTCTCATCACACTTAAATGTCTCAAAGTACTTTACAGTAATAATGACAAGTGAAATGATGGTCTCGTAGTAAAGTTCATTTTGCATTTTTAAATACTTGAAAGTCCCTCAAACTGCCACCGGGGCTGTTGCTCTCTTTTGTGATGAAACCTGAACTATGACATGGATTAATTAACAAACATGGTCAATTTTTGCTTCAACTCCTCCTCCTCCTCCACTCAGTCTACTGAATATCCCAAAACTCTGCCACCTGGGTCCTTGCACCAAGTTCCGTCTGTCCATCACTCCAGTCCTCAAAAGGTCTGTTGTCTCCCCTGTCTTCCAGTAGATAGATTTCAAGGTCCTCATCTATAAAATCTCATCATGTCCTAGCTCCTCCCTATATCTCTCAACTCCTCCTACCCTTCTCATCTGCTCGCCCTCTTCACTCGACTATCTCAGGTTTGCTCCATTTCCCCAGCTGCAGATAATCCAGAACTCTGCAGCCCGTTTCCTCTCCCGCACCAAACTCTGTGACCCCTCTCCCCCTTTCTTGCCCGACTCCATTGGCTCCCTATCCTTCAGAGGATCCAGTTCAAGATCCTGGTCTCACCTACAAAGTCCTCCATGGCCTCGCCCCACCTTACCTCTACGACCTCCTAACCTCCCACCAACCCGCCCCGCTCCCTCCGCTCACCCCCCTTCCACTCCCCTCCCTTCTCCCTCCCTGACCCCAGCTCGGGTCTGAAATGCTGTACGTTGTCCAGCGCCTTGGGACATCCTCCTGACATGAAAGGCGCTATACAAATGTAATCTTATTGTTGTTGTTGTTGCCCAAAACATGCCACCATTGGTGGCCAAAGTCTCAAATTCTAGGCATCTAAACTCCCTCCCACTACTCCATCTAATCCCCTTTCTATCTTTCTTCAAGTCCCACCTTAAAACCACACCTATGGTCACTTCCCCTTTCTTTTCTCCCCTGCTTGGTGTCCACCTCATCACTGTAAAGTGCTTCCTGGCATTATCTTACGTGAAGGGCGCTTTGTAACTACCCCCCTACCAACCTGTCCACTCCCTCCGCTCAGCAGGCTCCAGCCTGCTTCACGTTCCCCGCCTTGCCCGGTCCACCATTGGCGGGTAGGCCTTCAGCCTCTCTGCCCCCACCCTCTGGCACTCCATCCTACAGTCCCTCAACCTCGACCCCTCTCTTGCCTCCTGCAAGACCCGTCTCAAGACTTCCTCTTCGACCGTGGTGCCTCGGTCTATACAAATGTACTATACAAATGTAATTTTTTTGTTGTTGTAAATACAAGTTGTTGTTGAATAATTCTGAGACTTTTACTGCATCTGATTGAATTAACCTGGACTGCTATGAAGGCAAGTGGAGTGGTGAGCAAGGGCTCTTGTCAGATGCAATTTATAGATGAATGCAGGAAGAAAATAATGCATGAATTTATATTTTACAGTCTGCATATTAATTGAGATACGTTGAAAAAAATTGTAAATTGAAGCAGATAAAAGGTCAGTTATCATTAACATATTATTCATGTTTACGACAATGAACATGTTGCAACAATTAACAACCAGAAAGTAAGTAATACTGGCATGTTACCCAGGGACTAACGCGAGTCAAATGCACAGTTACCCAGGGAGTAACGTGGGTCAGGGGCATGTTACTCAAGAAGCAGCAAGCCCATACAGTCAAGCAGATAAAATGGGCAGAGGAGTAAGGTTGGAGACAATCAGAGAGCTAGAGAGATGTTACAGAACAATAGTGGGGGCCTTAAAATCGATCTGCTGGGAGACAGGAAAACAATGTGCGCAATTTGATGTGGGTGAGGATGCAGGCAATGCATTTTGGATAAACTGGAGCTTCAGTAGGTTGGAGCCAGGTAGACAAGGAGTGCAATTGAAACATTTCTGACAGGAGGCAACAAAGGCATGAATAAAGGTTTCAGCAACATTTGGTTAAGGATGTCCAACAGGCAGAGATCCACATTCATGTCGTCTACACATGGAAATTTTCCTGTCTGGAATGGAATGTGCACTCTCTCCCTGGAAGGATGCACACGGCTTACCTAATCCCGGAAAGTATTTGGCGTAGATTGGCAAGAGACAAGATTTAGGGACCCCAGAGTGTATGTTGGGATATTCCTGGAATTTAACCAGCTAAAAACGCAGAGCTTGACATTGAGTACATTGTCTGGCAAACTTCCACCTGCTTGTCCAGCTTCCTCCAACCTACCCGTTAGGCCTCTAACTTGTATGCCTAACAGGAGCTGAGTAGGTAGAATGTCTGCTCCCAGTGACTTATCTGCCCCTCCAAGTGCTGCCAACAAGCCAGGCTAGACAGCCTATCAGCAGCAGAATGTGGAGCGTGTAACACAAGGTGTAATGTGTGCTTGCAGCATATAATAACAACAATAATCCTTCCTTTGAGCACTTTTCACAATCCGATGTTTCAAAGTATTTCACAGGATTTACTATAAAGTGTAAAATTGACTGTAGATTTGTAAGTTGAATGCAGCAGCCAATGTGTAGCACAGAAATATCCTACAAACATCCATGAAGTGAATTTTATTTGGGGGATTGTTGGCCAGGAAAGCAAGAGAAGCTCCCTTCTCTTATCGAATTGTGTCATGGGATTTTAACTTGAACAAGTAGAATAATAATAAATTAAATTGGTCACTCAATCCACGAATGTTTGTGGGACACTGCTGTGCTCAATTGGCTGCCGGGTTTCACTCACAAAATACGCAGTCAATTTACTTTACAGTACATTCTGTGAAGCTCTTTGTCACGTCTCAAAGACGTGATAAGGTGCTCTATCAAATGCAAAAATTATATCATCATAGACAAGACAGAGCCACAGTTTAACATCTCACCCAAAGGACAGCACTGCAATGCAAACACTGTATTGCAGTGTCACTCTGAAATGTGAGTTCAAAGTTCTGACATGGCAACCTTTTTGACTCAGAGAAGCAAGAACTCTATCAACTGAGCCAGGCTGACACCTGAAACATGTAAGACAGGATGTGATGTGAGCTGTGAGCCTGTAACACAGGATATGATGTGGGTCGGGAGCTTGTAACAGTGTAACAGAAGGTATTGTGAATTCACAGTAGTAATACAAGCTGTTGATATAGCACAGAATAACTGTAATAATTTTTGCATTTGCTATAGTGCCTGATCACGTCGCTGAGACGTCTCAAAGTGCTTCACAGGATATACTGTAAAGATTGACTGTGTATTTTGTGGGCCAAACGTGGCAGCCAGTTTGTGCACAGCAGTGTCCCACAAAGTCATGAAGTGATGACCAAGTGATAAGGAGCTATACCAATTGCAAGCATTATTACAATTATTAAAGCTGGGGTGCCACAGAAAGGTATCAACAAGCAATAAGTTACCTTATTAAGTTCCTCTATTCTTCGGATCAAGAACGGATTACTTGACGAGTTTTCAAAGAAGACGTAATCTGTAAAAGAAGAAAAGAGACATTATTTAAAGTTAAATAACTTCCTTTGATTTTCTAAGCATGAAGGTTTTTTCTTTTTTTTAAATCGAAGTTACTGTCACCAAGAACAAAGCTTTAACCTGTGTGCCAAATTGGCTGTCTCTAATGATCCTGAGATCCCTTCCCCCTCACACTTATTAAACAAACATACACAGCTCCGGTTGAAGATCCTGAAACCCTAGAATCCCCGAGGAATCCTTTGTTACAGCCCCAATTTGCCAGAAGGAAGAAAACTCACATTTTTATAGCAGTTATTGCTTTGAAAGGTCTCAAAGCACAGTAATTACTGTAATCTATATTGGCTGTTTCAGTAAGAAAATGCAGCAGCCATTTTGCACACAGCCCCGAGGTAAAGTCAGTTGATCTGGAGGACTGTCCTACATATTGAATGATGCGGAATGGAAACAGGCCATTTGCCCCAACTCGTCCTTGCACCCCCCCCCATTCCTCTCATCTCTACCCCTTCACTCTCTTCCTAACAACAACAATTTCCACTGCCCTTCACGCAGGGTAGCATCTCAGAGCGCTTAACAGTGGATGACTCCGAGCTGGGGGGAGTGGGGGTGGGGGGGGAAGGTGGGAGGTGGCTGTAAGCATGGTCGAAGAGGAAGGTTTTCAGGCGGGACTTGAAAGACTTGAAGAGAGGTGGCGAGGTGGAGGGATTGAGGGAGAGCGTTCCAGAGTTTCGGGGCGTAGTGGCTGAAAGCGTGACCTCCAATCGTGTGAGAGACGAGCAGGTGGCCGGAGCCAGTCGAGCAGAGGTACTGGGTGGTCGATTGGGGTGTGAGGAGGTCGGAGAGGTAGGGAGGTTCCAGAGAGATTTGAACAAAAGCAAATCCCTCACGTATGCATCATAAACGCAGTGACTCTATTTGCTTCAACCATTGCTTCAGTCAGTAAGTTCCGCATTCTCTGCATGAAAAAGTTCTTCCTTGTTCCTCAATTTTACGTCTTGTTCGAAGGCCAGCACCTCAGACAATGCAGCTCTCCTCAGTGTGCCTCTACAGTGCAGCTTTATCCTTTGCTTCATTGGAAGACTCCGCTTAATCCTGGTGTGGGACTTAAACCCACAAACTTCCAACCCAAAGGTTGAGTGCTACCAACTGAGCCAAGGTGACACTCAACATGCACAAACTGACAGGAGCATTGAAGTATACATACTTCCGACATGTATACTCACTAATCTTAACACTGAAATTGCCAAAAATACTGGGAACATTGAAAGTGTCACTTTCTTCCTATGTTTTTCCCAATGCTGTGAATACAGTGTGGAAGGGCACAAGCAAGTTAATTCTAACATGGCCTATTCCAACAGTCCAAAATCTTCATGGCTATTTGTCAGACATGCTTATATGTAAATTGACTGGCGTGTTACCCTACAAAATCCAGTTACTACACTCTAGTCGTAAACCCTTGCAACGTCCTTCTTATGCAAAACATCTTACATCAACAGGATTATTATTACGTTTTAGACATGGCACATAAGAGACCCTGGTGATCCATTATCAGAAGATCACATCAGATTTCAGAAATTACTCCAGTTTCATGGTTGATCCTACAACCTATCTGTGCTTTAACCTATCTCTCTTCCTTTCTTTCCATCACGTTTCTCATTTTACTCCTGTGATCATTATGCTTCTTAATGTTCCTCTTATTGCTCCCAACATACTCTTCCTCGCAAGACTCATCTTAATATCTCATTGTAAATCATTCTTTCTCAAAACTGCAGAATTCTCCCTTCTCTGTCTTCTCCCCCTACTTACTGCTAGGCAAACAGAGGTATGTGGAATAAGGAAACTTGCCCGATGTTTCGCCCTGTTGGGAATTGAACCAAGGTCCTCTCGCTTGCGAAGCGAGTGCTCTAACCACTAAGCTACAGGATGCCACTTACATATAAATTGTAAATTTGTATTGTACAGCATCTGTGTACTACCTACACATGGAAATTTCCGTGCCTGGAATGAAATGCACACTCTCTCCCCTGAGGGACATACCCTGTTTATTGAGTTCCAGAGAGTATTAGGCACAGGTTAACGAGAGCTAAGACTAGCCATTGAGAGAACTGTCTGTTAAGAGTCCCACTGCTTGTACAGCTAGGACCACCCTCTCCATTAGAGCTTTGGTTACAGGGTTGCAAGCAGCCCGATGGGAAGAATCTCTGCTCCCAGTCACTGGCCTGCCCTTTCAAGTAGTGCCAATAAGCCAGGCTGACTGCAGACCTTGTAGAAGGGCTGACCCGCCTGAATCAGAAACCACCGGCTATTGAGACTGTCACGGAGGATCGACTCGATTCCAACATTCTGTTGTCAAGCACATCATCTTGGAACCAGCTCAGCTCCACAGAGACCCCAATTATGTCCACCCAAGGAAGATAGTTAGATATTCGTTCGCCATTCAACATCTACCTAGCGCAGGTTTGAGCCCTCAGTGGATAGTAAATATAAGGAACTCCTGTGAGGTTCCTGCTGAGCATCGCAACTGAGCATGAAATGTTTGAGAGCATTGCCACCGTGACTGACCATAGCTCAGTCACACATAGCTGCTCATTGAGCAATGATTCGACCAGCTGCAAGTACAGAGCTAGATCAGCAGCTGCTGACCTCTCTGTATACCAATCAAGGTGGATTCCAAGCCCTGCATATATGAATGTATGTGTGTTCATGAACCCAGATTCCAGGTTACGTATTTCAGCAGCTGTCCTCTCAAGCCTCAGAGTTTTCTCATCAGTTATTCGGTGGACATCTGCCTTCACCCTAGTGCGAGCACCTTTAACTGGACAGCTTGTGATGTACCAGCCACCTTGATGTTCTAATCCACAACTAGTATCTGGACATTGAATAGTGCAGAACTTGATCAAGCTGAGAGGCCTGAGGCTTGTGCACACTTTGCTGGGTGCAATCTCCGAGGCAGTGCCCACTATACTACCTGACACAATAGGTTCTCTGTGATCCCTCAAAAGAAGCGTGGGAAGGAGGTGGTAAGAAGAGATTTCAATCAATTGAACTCAGGATATGACACAAGGATAGCCTTATGTTTATGTGTCTCTACACATAATGCTTGTTATTCCAATGACCCAGCAGTGCACTCTTTGAGGAATTTTGTGAGAGCTTACTAACTCATCCAACGGACCCAGGAGTTTATCTGAGATGTTAAACCATGGTTCTGTCAGTCTGTTTATGAGTGAGTGCACATGACACTAAGTTTCCCATGACACTTTTCGAAAGGAGAACAGAATTATTCCCAGGATCCTGGCCAACAATCTTCCAGATAATTCTTACAATAAATACTGTGAAGCGCTTAAGAGGAAGTTCCACGATGTGATCAGGTACCATATTAATTGCAAGGATTATTATTATAATTTGACAAGAGTCAGTCAAGAGAAAATTTCCACTTGTTGGTAAGTCAGTAATGAAAGAGCATCAATTAAAGTCAGAACAAAGGGACAGACTTTTTTTTACACAGAAAGCTGCGGAATGCCTTGCCATGTATGGTGGTCAGGAGGATCAATAGGTAACTAGATCAATATCTAAAATTTAATAATTACAATACAATAAAATTTACACTTGTCTAATGCCTTTCACATTGGGACTGAATGGCTAGCTCTTTGAGCCAGCACAGACATAATGGATCAACTGGCCCTTTTCTGTATTGTAAAGTTCTGTGGTCTTATAATGGTCAATCATCTCATGGGTGTTTCTGGAACTCTGCTTTTGCAAAATAGCTGCTGAACTTACCGAGAAATATGGAGTCACTATAATTGACAGCAATTACCAGTGAAGCACTTTTGAGACTTTTGAGACATTTCTATGTATATTAAATGTAACGATTATCAGTGTTTAATGTATAAGCAATGCATCACACAAGGGTTGGTGTTGGGGGGGTGGTGGGCGTGCTACTGCGCTGCTGGACTGACCAGTTTGCAGCTTGTACAGATTCAGTCTATTGCGACTTTGAGATGAGGCAAGCCTTTGGGAAATCACTAGGAAAGCTCAAGAAGAGGCACTAAAATGACTTGCCCTTAATCCTAGGGCCCTGAGGCACAATACTGTTGAGAGTTTAATGGCTTGTATTAGTAATGAATATGTTGATGTGAAGAACAGTCATGGTCTTGAAGGAGCACTGCTGTGTCTAGAAACAGACGCCTCTAAATTTGAAAATAGGCAGTGGCTGTAACTGAGATTTGCCCTCAGCTACGAGGGCACCAAATCTCAAAAAAGACAAGATGCTGTCCTGACAGTTCTGTGCTCAGAGAAGGCACTCAACCAAATATACATGGAGGTTTTAGAGTTATGAGAACCTAAGAACATAAGAAGTTACAAGGCAAAAGAAGACCAAGGTCCATCTAGCTTGCCTTCCACCAGTCTGGCAGTCGCTTGACATGTCGTGTCTCGAACTATATACTAAGATATTATTTTCTATCAGAAATCTATCTAATTTGTTCTTGAAACAAACAGCACTTCCTGCTCCCGAGGGAGCCTGTTCCATAAATTTACTACTCGCTCACTGAAGTAGTGTCTCTGCAGATTTGTTCTGAATTTATCCACCCCACCTGCTCAATCGCAGGCCGTGTCCTCTGGTTCTACTGTTCAATACAAGGTAAAACAGCGTATCGTGATTACATTATCTAGTCCCTTCAGAATCGTAAAGACCATAACCATATCGCCCCTCAATCTTCTCTTCTCCAGCGTGAACATGCCCAGTTCACCTAATCGCTCCTCATAGTGGCCACCAATGTACAACAGCATGGTATATTATTCTTTCACCTTTAGCACCTCCTGTAAATGCAGTGTACACTGATCAGATTAAATTCTGCCTGGATTGTGATGTGAAATTAGGTTAGTCCTTAATTGGCACAATCCCACTGCCGTCAAAGGCATTCTCAATCCAAGCCATTAGGTTGTGTGACACATGGAAATATTCTCACTGACTCTTTTCCTGAATTTGCGCTCAGGCACAGAAGA